AAATCGATGGCTGTGCCGAAATTTTTATTTTTTTTTAATTGATCATTAGGATACATGTACGTTGTATGTACTTTCGAGAATTTAGGAAGATAACCTTTAAGAAGTATAAAATATTATTTTACATTGCCGAAAACATCGTCCATCTTACATAAAGGTCATTTATACGTAAATTTTCTACCTTACATCAAGGTCATTTATGCGTAAATTTCAAAGTGATTAAGCATATAATTTTAAATTAAAAGTCAACTAATACTACTTCTTCCAAATCATCCAACATCCATGAAATATCTTCGGGATCTTCCATATTAGATGCCATAAGGCTATCGTTTTCCGGATCATTCGACATCGACGTTACTTCTACTTCTAATGCAAAAATTTATGCATAAACAATATGATTTTATAATATATGCATCAATAAATTCGTTTCTAACTTACGGGATTCGTTAATCCTTGTGGATTTCCCACATTCTGAGCCTTCTTTATTGACCGTCAAATCATTTTTATCAGAACCACCAGTGTGACTAGCATTGGTCTGATTGCCACTATTCGAGTCTACTCCTTCATTATGTCTATAAGTAAGGACTGATGTAGCATGTGATACTGGGCAAGGTAACTTATATATTTTAAAAAGATCTTATTTTTATTGCCAGATATTTTTAAGGAAATAGGCTAGTAATAATAAGACACTAACTGTTGACTCTAGATTGTTTAATTGTTCAGGCGTTGATATCAAACAAATGTTGGTGAGTGTCACATTAAGATATATATTTTCAATTGAATGAAGAATTGCTACCTAAATTGAAGGGAAACATTGCAAAGATATAGATATATATATATGATAAGAATTACGAAGTAAGTCTTTAGAATAATTACAAATACTTTTTGTTGAAACACCTACATTCTTTAACACAAGAATTGAACCAAGTTGAAGTTGTTGACTGTGAACTCGAAGAACTTTTTCATGAATAATCGCTTGCATTTTACCTTGATAATAAAAGAAATTAGTACTATAAATTATATATATTCTATATTTTTATACGTACGTACCTGTATAATCTGCAATAGTAGCAATTTTTTTATTTGAATCTAATTTAATTATTTTGCCAACAGTAATCGGAATTTTGATTTTAATGTCTTGCCATTGCTGCAATACTTTCATCGTATTCCGGTTGCAATTTTCTGCTAATTGTTTAGGCATGATAATAATAATACATGAAAATTTTATTTAAACACGTAAGTAAAAAAAAAAAAAAAAAAAGCAACATGTGATTTTTGTTACACAAATCAAGGGTTCTCATAGTGAAAATCCATTCTTCTTTTGCTATTTCGATATCTTTGAGAGGTTCAAGAGGTTTGGAACAAGATGAACTTCCATTCCTATAGCGTTTCATTACATTATTGAGAGTCATGTCATTAAAATTTGCTAATGCGTGTCTCGTAGTAAACGCTCGAACATCATTACGCTTTTAACCAAAATGTAATGTATTAAATATATATAATAAATTTATATATTGATTTGTAAAAAAAAAAGAAATAGCAGTTGATTACTTACATAATCACTAGGAAGGAATTCAATAGGTCCAGCAATTTTGACCACCAAATCACTTTTCCGAGTTTCAGCTTGAGCCTTTCTTAAAGTATTAAATTCTATTGATGAAGTTGGATTCGAATGTTCGGTAGATCTCATTCCAAATAAAGAACCTTCCAGAGATCTTTGAAACCCTCCACGATCACCAGGCTGTGATAAAGTATTGTCTTCATGCAAATTATGAGGA